CATGTCTGATTTCCGGCCTTAAGAACGTCTTTTGGGATTTATATAATTATTTTATAATGACATTTCACATTGCTACCGCTAAGTGCCCGGATTCTACGGACACCTCAAGTAGAAGTATATCTCTCAGTTTGGTAATTCTAACAAAAATTAAGGCCTATAAGTAATTTCGAATCGCAATTTGAATAATTATAATAAAATTAAAATCTAGCCTTCATTTTTCTATTTCTGGTAGTGGGTCGCGTCACTATCTGACATAACTAAAGCGGGCGGACAGCTGAGGAATACCCACCAGAGTCGGAATTCAGCTTTAAACGAACCCCATCATCTCTTTCTCCTTAGCAAATCGCGGATTTCTTAACAAAGGAAGTCGGGCTTTTGTGGACGATAAAAGAATGTGTATGTCTAAGGCAAGATTCACTTAAAACTAAAACGCCATTTGATGGGATGCAGCTTAGATAAGAATGAGACGTAAAATTTTACATAAGCTTTTATTGACTGCAAAAATTCGAAGCAACGATTATCTCTGAACCGCATATAATAAAGGTACAGGACGTGAAATCGAACAAAAATGTGATACGTACGACTGGAACGTAGATGATTTCTTAGGCATTTCCTTGACAGTTATAGACCAGCATCTACATCAATGGTAATGTTCATACACGTCATTCAAACACACGAGTCGCACGAGCTTTTCAGGTAGTCGTTTACGAGCGGGCCTTTTCATTTGTACCGAAACCATCAAGACTCCTTATCCGGTATATTCTTAACATCAGCTGTAAGTGGCCAGGAACGGTGCGCCGATAAGATCTGCGGACTTGAATTTACAGGTCTGTATTGTCGAATATATTTGTCCTAATCAAATAATATTTTATACAAACAATATTAGATTTTTTTTTTTTAGAAAATGGAAAAAAATTTCAAATGATGCTGTCATAATTCAATGTGGCAAATTTTCTTGTAGCACCTCTATTTTTTTAGCGGCGTACAAAGAGCAATTTACACATGCCTAGTAGGGCTATCGTTAATAAGCCCGCTCTCTTTACTTTTAGCAATAGCTCAGTTAGTTATGCTGTCAACCCGTACTGTCGTTGTAAAAGTGTGATTCTGTAAAATTATCAAGAAAGTTATGCACTTCATCTTCAATAGGAAGGGCTTCGTCAAGCAGAGGATGCCGCACATGGCTCTAGGTGAAGCTGGTCTGATGTGAAATGAAGTGAATTTGCTTTCATGCTAGGGCTCAGTTGACCTTCAGGTTCCAATGAAGGCGCTACTGACGTACACCGCGTGCGTTTGCTTGTAGCGATGGTAGGTAGCAAAGGGATCCCGACAAACGGCAAAGAGCAAATGACAGACGAGAATGCCGACGACCTCAGGAAAAAATTCACAATTCAAGGCCGAGTTTTTTTCTTAAATTTGAATGTAGATAATATTAAATGACAATGAAGGTGCCAGTCATATTTTGTCTTCTACTTAACGAACAAATTAAAACTAACGAAAATATGTTTTCGTTGGAACGGGACCTATAAAAGTACTGGAGCGGTCACGTTGTAACGTAATGGCCAAACATTTAGATATGTACATTTTTATGGGAGAATTCGTTCCATAAAAAAGGAGGGAAACTAAGTAGATAGGCACAGGCTTGGGTCCGCAGTAGAAAACGAATCATGAACACAAGCAATGAATCTAGGAAGCCAAAGGCAAGTGTTAAATTGCTTTTTTTTTTTACAAAGTCTAAAAAAATTACTATAGCAATAACTACGCAATCGCAGGTGAGGAGGTACTGCAACTTTCCCAGTTGTCTACGTGAAACAGAAGGACTGACCATCAAATAAGTAGTAGAAGTTTAGAGTCATTGGGTAATCCCCCACATTGATACCATGAAAAAATTTGTTGGAATCCGACAACCGTGGATCGACCCTGAGCTGAAACAAGGAAGGACTTTGGAAAACAAGAGGCGGCGGAAAGCAATGCTGTTGCACGGCAACATTAAGTACTGCTTGATTTCGGCAATCTGGAAAATTCGGGCAGACCATAAAGAAAAATAGACTTGCTAGTTGAGAATTCCAGCAGGTTCCACCCGTTCTCGTCCGGAAGACTAACGTATATCATTAAATGACTCGAATAATAAACATAAAACGTAATTATCGCATGAAATTTATGAAAAACCCGCGGAAAAATATTTAGTACAAATTTGCGACACTGTCGTACTACTCTTCGTCTGAATGAATTGACAGATATTTGTGTCATAAACACGCTTTCTTAGACGCTGACATATTACCCTTCTATTTAAATCTTCTAATTAAGAATTTTTACGACACTCTTCATATTTGCTCGTTAATTAAGAACGAAGGATAAACGAACGTTAATTAAGATTAAGTAAGTACGTTTCGTCGAACTAACGATCCTCATGTGAATTCTAGCGCTGTGGACGCGTCCTGGAGAAGTTCAGCGATCGAGCTCCGTCTCAAAATTGAAATCGTGTGAGGTTCAGGATCGAATTTATAAGGGGTCAAGGTAAAATAGATCTGATATGAAGCGATGAGATGTGATTCGATCTCACCAAAATAGCCCCTCAGCGGCCCTTTTTGGTTTCAGCCAGCTCCCAAGTAGATCTTTGTGTCTGTCTTGCATAGTCGGTAAGCACGGTGCTAAAAGGATGCGATCATTCCAGTTCTAAACGCTCTGTCGTTCAGAAGTCAAGTTCAAGTATGCCTAGAAGCATTCTTTGCTCCTCATATATAGACATATATTTTGCCGCTATTTTTACAATAGTCCCACAGTTTATACATTTGAGCACGTAAACATTTGATATCAGCTGTACTGCGTCTACGTAAGTCAGAGCGCCTCAGATTATGTTATAACATAATAACACAAAATTTTTATAATGAAATTTTGCATTAAACCATTCTGAGCTGAGTTGTTGTTGCCTCAATTGAGTAACATTTAATATCGACAGTTGTGCCCTTGATATTTGAAATGGTAACTGACAATGTATGGCTAAACACTGTTACAGAATGAATATGTTTGTACAACTTAAACTTATTCGTTAGGACAATAAACAATTGATTCAATATACTGAATAGAGTGGCTGATCGCTGCAAAACTAGAACTCGATCCGGCGAGCCTTTCATTCTGCAGATGGCTTCTCGCAACCTGCGAATTCCATTTAGCGCCCCGTGTGCGGTTGCAACATGGTAGTTTCTTGACGAATTAGGGCCTGTAGAATTAGAGAACCCAGAGCATCATTTTCGCCTAAAAAAATAGAATTCAATGCGTTGAATGTTTTAGATTTTTAGTTTTAATCTATATTTAATTTAAGTTACTTTAGGCATCATCAACACTTGCGCAATTTTTTTAGAAGACTTTAAATAAAATGGGCTCCAGTATGATACACGTGAGCACTTATCTCCTTGAGAGCGGTGTGGATAAGGAATCGACACATAGCATCCTATAAATCAGCATGTCAGGAAATCAGTCTGGCTGATCCTACCAATGTTTTACACTATGATGATACTTCGAAACATCGCTATCCGGCTAGAGAAATTGATCAAATTCTAGTTAGAAATGTACACAAATAAAAAAAAAACTGCACGGAAATTCATCGAAAGAAGCATAGAAGTTAATCAGAACGAAGGTGTCGTTGTATAGAACCAATCAACCGTAAATGCCTAGTGTGTGTATATTTCTTGCAAAAGACCTGTCTTTGAATTTCGTTACTACATTTTTTTTGCATATCTAGCAAAGTTACAACTCACTGAGGATGTAGACGCAGGCCGTTTCCTTCGCCAAAGGAAACTGCAACATCGACGTGGCGAAACGCCACATCGGAACACTGCAAGCCGTATATGCACTCGGACGTCGCATACGACTAATGGAAACTCATAGGGATCATGTGTAGTCTACGTTGACAGTACAAGGCCACTAAAGCTCAGCTAAAAAGCAAAATAGAGGTTAATGGAACAAACAGATATTCCATAGCTCTGTATGGAACTGCATGCTTCTTAAACGTTCGTCCCCTATTTCGATCTATAAGAGCGTCTAGGCTCTCAAAGTTTTTGCACCACAAACTTTGAAAGTCTAGACTTTCTCGTTTCGTAGCTTGAAATTTAGTATTTACAACCGCGGGCTTGGAAGCCGTGCTGAAGACGTGACATGATAATGCGCATTCTCCAGCGGACCTACTATGCATACGTAAGGTGTACTTGAAGGCGTCGCTCATAGCTAATGATCTAACTTCATTTGATACAGCCACAAATGAAAATGATAAGATTCCACAGAGAAGACAAGGTACCGAACTTTTTCCGTGATCGTCAGAGAACTTCTGCACAGACAACAGATCAGAATTACATGAAACTGTTTTCACAGACCTGCCCAAAAACTCTGGCAGCACTTCAGTGAAAATATGGTGTACATCATACACAAACTGTCGCTTGTGCGGTTGGCATGTAATACACGCAATAAAAAACGCAACCAGTGGCATTCTCCTACAGTGCTTGGCACAGCCATTTAAAGCATAGGATTTATTTAATAACTAGAGTACAACATTCATTCGTCTTGTCTTGCCAAAATTTTTTGACTTTTCTCAGAAATCGGGTTCATATATTAGACAAAATGCATCAAGACCCATCGAACTAGCTTGGCAGTTGAAGTAGAGCTTGATAATTTCCGACAGAAATAATGCTTTCCTCGTCGTCTGAGGGGTACAAATTTGGTTTGAACAATGTATTTCTCAATGAAAGTTATGTGGGCCAATGAGAGAATAAGTAAACTCAACAGTAAGGTTCATTCATATCTCGAATAGTTCGATGGACTGGAAAGCACCATGTATAATAACTAATTGAATGGATGAATTCGTATGAAAACTAAAAATATGAATGAACGCTTTTTCAAATCTCGCACGTGTTTTCTCCAAGCTGCATGGATCTAGATAATCGATGGAAGATGAATAGTAGTAATTCTACGCAGATAACAAGGTTCGCACAGCGTGCTGACCACTGGGCCTTTTGGACCGTCAAATGCCGCAACATAAAAATGAAAGCAAGACAAGAGGGTACGAGTCGTTGAGCCAGGGTCCTACTAATAACCTACGAAGCTTCAGGCAAAGACCTAAAATAGACATCGGCTTCGTGCTATGGATCTACATAGTAACACAGATATGAAATGCGATGTCGTAGGAGATGTTAGAAACGTGTGTAGCGTCCTTCTAGTACTCAGATCTAAATGATTGCGTTGTTTTACAAGGTAGGTTGCTATCAAGGATCTTCGGTCAGTCCGCAAAGACTAGACGACATAGAAGAAATCAGGACGATCGATCCAGCAAATCTCATCAGAGAAAAAAGTCAACGGATAGTCATTCGTCGTCGACCTGTTCCTCCGAAAATCGAACTCCGCTGAGTGTAACCGGTCTACGTAAGACAGAGGAATCTGAAAAGAAGCTGAAGGAACTTATACAGGCACTCACTGTCCACGTTTTGCCGTTATTGGAACAACCGCCTAAAGAAACAGAGGGCGCAACAGTTAGCAAAAATCGTGTTTTATTCGCATTAAATCATGCCGCAGAAAAGGTAGAATGTATGCGCAATTTCCATAAAATAAACCGGCTTTAAAGATCATTATATGGCCATGAGAACTGTGTGTGCGTTGAGGTAGAATACTTAGAGAAAATCGTCTTTCTTTAAAATTCGCAATTGAACGAATTCAGGTCAACTTAGGTTCAAGAAATCGCACATTTAACATTGAAAGGCTTGTAACTTTCGTCTGCTGGTTCTCTTACAGGCTCTTAAGAAAAAGAACGTCTTCGGTCGGCTTGAACAGTTACGCACAGAGGCGCGAGAGGCAGACAGCGTTGTAGCTGACTTTTTAGAAAAAGACTGCGATACCCGATTAGCTGCTATGGCACCGAAGTGCGCCGCCTGTGGGGCTCCGTGCAAGAAATGCACGGTGAGTTTTCTCCCGCTCACTAATGTAGGTTCCACAGGTCGCACTTACACATTTTTGACTGTGTGAAAATACATAAGATTTTTTGCATTAGAGTCGTAGCCACGAACCGATAACATCGCTTAAAAATTAAAAAATGTTTAGTCACAGAATTGAAGTGTAAATTTTTCTGTTAAAGCTGCTTTGTTCTGTAATTTATAATTAACGTGTTCGATTTTTTCCTTCCTGTCGTTAAGTCGAAGCAGGGATTGCCCCACGGATAACGGCGACAAGTCTTTTTTATTAACATTTCATTGTTCTGGAACATTAGATAATCTTTAGATTTAAATTAAATATTTTTCAAGTTGAACATGGTCATTGGTTTTTGATATAGATTGTCGATCAATTTCGATGATACTGCACTATACCATCATTGGCACGTTTTTCTCGAATGTTTTTGCATCGTCGCTACTTTCATAATATTTTCAAATTTGTATTTTTTACGTGGTTTTGCCTTGCATAGAACGTATCTGACACGTATCGATGCTTAAAATTAAGTGCAACAAACGAAAGGTACTTGCACGGTATTGTATGTGATCAGGAAGGGTGAGAAGCTCTGTTATGTGCGTTAGAAAAACAGAAATGTACATCGTAAAGTTACGTCTGCAGTTTGTATAATCTCAAGGTTCTGTTGAAGTTGATTTGCCCACGTTGAAGAGCGTTAATTACAATCTATGGAACCTGTTTGGAAGTTGGGAAGGGAGTTGAGAACGTGGCTATGAATTTTTTTAACGGATGCTTAGCCTACTGACCTGACATGGTCAACATTGATATTTCGGAAGGTGACATTTTGTTATTGTTATTGCAATAACAAAAAAAAAGCATTGGTAAATAGCATGGTATGATGCCTTAACACAAGTTGTTAATATAAACGCTGCTGGAGAACCGTTTATATATAATATATTATGTGTATACATATAAATATAATAAAGCCAGACCACTTCACTATAGCTTAACGTAGATGACGTTTATATTGACGGCTTATATTGGTTCCATCGTGTGGAAGCTGTGTCCCCCCCCCCCCCCTAAATAATTTGCAGTAATCCAAACAACGTAGATATATTCTGCATACTAAACCGATGAAATAGTTGTAGATCGTTTAATAGCAGTTCATTTCAAAGGCACCTCCCGATCCAATAGGCTTTGTTGTTAAGTGTGTACAAGCCAGTCACTAACAAAGCTAAATTTAAATCTATTTGTTGCCAAATGTTCTATCATACATTTTGGGCAAAACAATTCTCACGCCTTATGGTGAGAATTCAATTGGGTTAATATCACTGTTTCAATAGCCATACATTTTAGTGTAGTTTTATTGTCAGTATGTATGGTACATTTACGAACAGCTGGTATCCCCCAGTGGTGGAAAGCAAAGACGTTTAACAACAAGCTTGAAATTAAATTTTTTTTTATATTTTTTAACAAAAACGAAGATGTATTACAGGGTAAAATATATAGAATAGCTTAGCTAGATAATATAACTAGATAGAATAACAGCCTCTTCTTAAGCTTCTGAATTCAGACTTTGACTACGCATAGCGGATAGTGCGAGTATAGAGTTGCTCACTGAGTTTGGGTTATTGTGAGAGTTAATGTGAACTGAAATATCAATTTATATATA